TCGAGACCTATTTGCAAATGCTACGCAAAAGATTTTGTGTAGTAATGTCTTTCCCGGCATGAGTAGCACTTTCTCTTTGATTGAGCCTTTGATTCCTTGCTCATGTGGTGCTTGTCATTGCCTTGCTTCTCCTTGTTTGCTTGAGCCTTCTTCTCAAGCTTGCTTGGACAACCCGAAGCTAGGTGGCCCAATTCATCACAACTATGGCACTTGATGTGAGCAACTTCCTTCACCTTCTCTTCTTTGTTCTTGCTTATTTTCTTTGCGTCTTGATTCATCCTTGGACGCATTGCTCTTTCTCTTGCCTTTTCACCCCTTCTTGTTTTCTTCTTCATCATCATCAAATCACTACAATCTTTATGGTCGATCTTGATTTGAATTTGGGGCTTTTTTCTTGCTCATCTTGTGGCTTTAGTTGAGGCTTCACTTGTTGCTTCACTAATTGCTTGGTGGGGCACATAGAGGTGAGATGACCCCATGTGCGTCACTTGAAGCACTTGACATGCGTTAGCCTCTCTTCTTCCTTCTTCAACTTGAGCTTCTCTATGTTGGGGCATGAATCATGAAGATGTCCGACTTCATGGCACCAGTAGCACATGAAATGAGATAGTTTTTCACGAGCTTGCTTCTTTTTCTTTCTTTTTCTTTTTCTCTCCCCCTTAGTCATGCTCTTGTTGAAACCAAGACCACACTTGTCATCATAGCTTCTTTGATTCTTCAACATATGCTCAAAGGTGACTTTGGAGTTGTAGCACTTCTCTAACTTGTTGCTCAATTTCTTCACTTCTCTTTTGAGCTCATTGTTCTCCTTCAAAAGGTTAGTCTCACATGACATAGAAGTAGAACAAGCATCTAAATGTGAAGAGCATGGCATATCTAATAAATCATCACACGAGGTGGATACATGCTTCTTCCCTACATCACAAGAGTTAGTCACATGTTGCGATTGATCACTTGACTCATGTGATGAGCTCTTATTCTTTTACGTTTCTTTGAAAGCACTTTAATGAGATAAGCATGTTGTTCTAATAATTCTTCATGAGATACAAGAAGTTCCTCATGAGTCAATTTTAGCTCATCATGTGAAGTTCTAAGAACATCAAGTGCTTATGTTCTTCACATGAATCCTTTAGAAAAGAGTTTTCTTTTTTCAATTTCACTGTTTTAGCTTTCTCATTTTCTAAAGACATGGTCATGCTAGCAAGTCTACTAACAAGCTCATCATCTGAATCAAGATGATCAACCACATTAGCATTTTGTACCTTTGTGTCACCTTATGACATAAAGCAATGTGGTGATGTTGGTGAGCTTGTAGAGACATCACTCTCATATCCATCATCTTCATCAACAACAGGTGTGCATGGAGTAGCATCATCATTTGCATCCCTTGTTGCATCATCATCGATCTTGTGCTAGAATCATCATCATCACTTGACCATGAGGTGGAGCAATCTTCCACAATCACCGAGTTGTGGCTATGCTCAACATCCTTATGTGCCTTCTCTTTGGGCTCCTCATCATCATCATCGGAGACCATCCCATATTTTCCATTGAGATAAATCCAAATCTTATGGGCGGATTCCATATCCATGATCTTGCCAAATATGTTATCTTCCCTATATTGATAGAAAATGTTAGTAGCTTGGCAATCGAGATGTAGGCATTTCTTTTGTGCTTGAGTTGCATTCTTTTTTTCCAATGCATGAGAAAAGCCCACATCTACGATCCACCACGTTTGAGGGCAAACGAACTTAAAATTATTTATCATCCAATTTTTCCATCGTCCAAAATGTGTTCCATCAAAAATGGGCACTCAACATCTAGCCCGTAGTTCATCATCCTCTCAGGTCGGTGAAGACCACAAATGAGAGTCCTCGGCTCCGATACCACTTGTAGGGTCGAGATGGCGGACTAGAGGGGGTGAATAGCCCTTTCTAAAATTAATCGCGTTGGCTAACCGAGATAAATGCAAAATTAAAACTATCGGTCTAGCCAAGACTACACCTCTCTATCTAAGTTCTTAAGCACCTTATAAAACATCCTAATTAGGTAACAAAGGTGCCGGGCTAGCTAGAGCTCACCTAACCAATTCTAGAAGCAAGGTCACACAAACCTATGTAACAAGTACTTCAAGCACCGGGGAGCTCCTACACAAACCAGTAAGCAAAAGCACAAAGCCCCTAAGCTCACTAGCAATGCTCAATAACAAGTCTACACAAGCCAAATTAGAGAGTGCAAATTAGTTAGCTACACAAACTAAGAAATGTGACTAACAAGGCTACTCAAGCCAATTAGTCACGCAAGAGAGCTACTTCTATACTACACAAGGAAGAAGGTAACTGGCAAGCTACACAAGCTAACTAATTACAAGAGCAACAACACAAGCACAATATGTATGAAAAGTAAATACAAGCTTGTGTATGGGGGAATGCAAACCAACGGAAAGAACAATGTTGACACGGTGATTTTTCTCCCGAGGTTCACGTGTTTGCCAACACGCTAGTCCTCGTTGTGTCGACCGCTCACTTGGTGGTTCGGCGGCTAATAGGTGTTTTACAAACCTAGCCCACACGTTGAGCGCCGCAAGAACCTACCCCAAAAGTGAGGGTAGCTCAATGACACACTCTACTAGAACTGCTCTTCGCGGCTCCCGCGGGGTGAGCACAATACCCCTCACAAAAGCACTTCTCTGGAGCACCGCACAGGCTTCTTGTGGGCTTCATGACGGAGAACTCGCCACCAAGCCGTCTAGGAGGTGGCAACCTCCAAGAGTAACAATAAATCCCACAATCACAAAGATATACTAGTGCCACCAAATGCAATCCTCAAATGCACACATACTATGCTCTCAATCCCTCACTCAGATTAGCACCAAGCTTGAGAGGGAGAGAAAGGGGAGGAGGTGGACTTCAATTTCTTATCAACACCCACAAAGGGATCTCAATATCTCCTACAAATCTTGGTTCAAACCATGGGAGAGAGAGAGGAGAGGATGAACCCTAGCTCATAAGATGCAACAATGGGGAATGGCTAGAGAAGGAAAAAGAGAGGATGGGAGCCAGCCTTATCCCATCACGTAGGGTCTCTCCCCACTTAGCACCCGCACTGGAATTTTCAGTTGGCGCGGATTGGAATTTCTCAGTCGGACGCTCCTCTTCCGACCATTGGCACTAAGGACTCCCGCACTGAAAATTCTAGCTCGGGCGAACTAAAATTCCAGTTAATTCCGGCCACCCAACAGAGGACCCTTGCCTGGAATAATAAGCCTAGTGAGCAAGAAATTCTTGTTCACAATTCACAACTTACCCAAAACAAGTGCTATCTCTTCTCAAAAAGCACCAAACCAATTTTAGCACTTGAGATTGCTTTTCACAAAGAATTTCCCTGGGCTTTCTCATCTATCTCACCACGTCACTAAGCGCAATGCATATGCAAATGAAACTCATACTTAGTGGCACTAGATAACCGTTGTAATTAAAGATTTCTCCTCTTTATAGTACGGCTATCTATCCTAAACCCGGTCATAAACTTCTCTACACACCTACGACTGGTGAAATAAAATGCCCTAGGTTATACCTTCGCCTTGAGCATTTCATTCCATCTCCTCCAATGTTGATGCAACACATGCACCAACCTTGATCAACAAATGATATGATCCACTTCATATCATCACGTGATCTTATTGGTTCATCGATCTTGACCTCACTTGCTCTTCATCATTGTTTCGGTCCATCGGCGCCAAGTCTTGCTCAAGCTTCCCCACCACGCGGTTTATCGCTTCAAAGTCTCTTACTTGCCCTTCACTCTTGCAACTGGTCCATCAAGCCAAGCCTCATCTTGATCTTCTCCACCTTAGTCACATGACTCCATGTCATGTCTCATATGCAATGAGCTCCTTCATCACATGTGTGAGCCTTGCAAGATATTCAAGCCATTTTCACCTTAATAGCATGTGTTGTTCACACAAGTGTACCTATGGACTAATTACCTATGTCATTCACATAAACACTTATTAGTCCACCTAGGTTGTCACTCAATTACCAAAATCAAACAAGGACCTTTCAGCCAGGGTGAGGGGAGCCGCCCAATCCCCTACAACACCGCCGCGCCACTTCCATGGATCTCACTCATGTTCCATGGATCTCACGGGGTGGGAGAGAGGGCCACCGAATCTGCGGCATTAGGGGCTCCCGGTGGGTGAAGACGCCGAGGTTGGGGGAGGGGCGCCACCGGGGTGAGGGAAGGAGCTGCCGGGGTGGGGGAGGAGGATGCCGGGGTGGAGGAGGGCACGCGCCGAGGTGGGCAAGCGAGAAAGAGAGCAGAGCAGCTGGGAAGCACGAGAGAGAGGAGCTCGTTAGGCAGGCGGCCCATGCGGAGTGAGACTAGGTGGCCAGGTGTTGACTTTGTTTTTTTATTTAGGCGATAGGCACGTGCGGCCAGTGGCGAAGCTAGAGTAAACTAGAGGGGATGCGCTTACCTTGTAGATTCGTGAACTTGATCCGCAACCATGGTGGAAAATTAATACTATTCACTGGTATTCGGATTTTCATGGGTGCATTGGCACCCACAATAGAGTAACTAACTTTGTCACTGCATGCGATAGTAAGATAAAGTTGTGGTGCATGTCACGCCACACGTCCGGCTGGGAGTCGCTGACGTCAAACGTCTGCAGCATTACCTATTCAGGATCCTCGTGAACTCGTGAGTTCGTCGATGGTCTTGCCTCGAAATTGCAGTCCAATCAGAGCGGCGCCGCCTCAAGTCGAGACCCTCCGCCGCCGAAAGGTCGTGCTGCTGCAACGTCGCCGTGGATGCGTCCGACTGAACCTGCGGAAACAACAACGCGCAGGTCGCAGTCCGACGGGTACGTGGGACGATTACGCAAATGTTTTGGGCCTCACCTCCTGTGGCTCTAGGCTGTGGCCTCCGCCGACAGGCTTATATAGAGTCATATGCCTTCCGAGGAAGTTTGCGGCCTGGTTTTCGCTTCGCCTTCACTCATGGCGGGGAGCTTCTCGTCCGCGCTGCTGCTCCTGCTCAACATGGCGGGCGCGTTCCTCGCCCCGCCCGCTCTTCCTTCCGGCCCGGCCTCCGTGGGCACCAGCGCCAGCGCCAGCGCCGACGGCGGCGGGGACGACGGGGACGTCGACTTCTTCTTCTTCCCGTTCCTGGTCCTCTACAAGAGCGGCCGCGTGCAGCGCTTCATGGGCACGGACACCGTGCCGGCCTCCACGGACCCGGCCACCGGCGTCGCCTCTAGGGACGTCGTCGTCGACGCCGCCGCGGGCCTCGCCGTGCGCCTCTACCTGCCTCCTAGCCTCGCCACCAACCCCACGGGCACGGCAGGGACGGACGACGACGGCGGCGGCGGTGGAAGCGGAAGCAACAGGCTGCCGCTCCTCGTGTTCTACCACGGCGGCGCCTTCGTCACGGAGTCGGCCTTCTCGCCGACGTACCACCGGTACCTGAACGCGCTGGTGTCCAGGGCCCGGGTGCTCGTCGTGTCCGTCGAGTACCACCTCACGCCCGAGCACCGCCTCCCGACGGCGTACGACGACGCGTGGGCGGCGCTCCGGTGGGCGCTCGCCAACGCGCGGGCCGGGACCGGGACGGACCCCTGGCTGTCGCGCCACGCCGACCCGGCGCGGCTGTTCCTGGCCGGCGACAGCGCCGGCGGCAACATCGCGCACTACGTGGCGCTGCGCGCGGGGTGGGAGGGCCTGGGCGACGGCGGCGCCGCCGTCACGACCATCCGAGGCCTCGCGCTGCTCGACCCCCACTTCTGGGGGAAGCGCCCCGTGCCGTCGGAGACCACCGACGAGGACACGCGGCGGTGGCGCGAGCGCACGTGGAGCTTCGTGTGCGGCGGCCCCTACGGGATCGATGACCCGGTGATCAACCCTGCACGCGCGTGCTGGTCACCGTGGCGGGGCTGGACATGCTCAGCGCCAGGGGCCGTGCGTACGTCCACGCACTCAGGGCCAGCGGTTGGCCCGGCGAGGTGGAACTGTATGAGACGCCCGGCGAGTATCACGTCTACTTCCTTAACAAGCCCGACAGCGTGAAGGCGGCGAAGGAGATGGAGGTTCTAGTGAACTTCATCAATGGCGATCAATTGAGCAAAACACAGCTTCAAGAATGGACGCCTGATCGATGCTACTTATTTGTTAGATGTTAAGTACCACGGGTGCCACTTGGCTATCTTGTAAAATTCGGTCGGATTAGTGCATCAATCTATGTAATGAAATGTCTGGTCCTAACAAACTTTGAAGCCTAACGAGAATCTCGGTAATTCTATGCATAGTAAAACCTCATGTTCAGAAGCAGAATATTCCTTGATCATCCATTACCTAAACAGCTTCTTCTTCCACTATGCTCACATTTCGGCGTGATGATACTTCACCATGAGCTTGAAAATGAGAAAAATGATTGGGGCTAAGCTAAAACCGCAGCTGCAGAAGACCATATCATCCTGGGTTTATCCCGAAGAACCGAGGCGCGTGATAAGTACTTCCGCCAAAACACTTGAAGCCACAAACCGCAGATTTTGAAGAATGGCTATATCTTTTGCTTTAAGGTTAGCATTATAACACAACAAGGGCTGAAGTCCTCTTCTTCCTCCTCTTTCTATCACGTAGGCGCCGCTTGGGTCACCTTGTTGCCGACAGATAACCTCCCTAGCGCTTGAAAAGAATGTTTTGCTTTAAGGTTAGCATTATAACAATTTTTTGCCGACACTTTCTATTGTAGGCAAGACGCCATCGGCGAAATAACCTCCCGCAAAAAGTTTTGTCGACAATTTAAAACAATGCGCTAATCCCCGACTTTTTAATCCCGTATGTGCAAACAAGCGGTCTACCTACGCCGAGACGTTGAAACCTTTGCCGACAGTTAACCCTTTGCCGATAGTTAAGACCTATGCCGACAGTTAAGACTTTTCCCGACAGTTTGTATGTTGGCGAAACCATTTCCAAGCATTTTATGAAACATGCCCTCGTCAGCAAGTAAACCGTTGGCAAAACTATATAGAAAATATAGATATCAATTCAATTTGAATGATTTGACAAATCCACTTTTGTTCATAGAGAATGCATCACATTGAGCAAATTCACTTGATTTTATAGAAATAATATATTAAATATTCCATACATACATCAAATGGATATTGCAAGTCAAAGTGATGATCATAATACACAGAGCCATACATATACAAGTCCAGGATATAGATGAGCCACTAGACATATATAGACATATACTACAAGTCTTGTGCTAACTGATTATGGCTAAAGTTAAGAGATCAATAGATCATGACTCGGGCACACTTCCAGCGTCCACGGTGACGAATTTGCTAGCACTTGAGAAGTAATATATATCTAGACTACAACAAATTCAAGCCTCCTTCCTAGTTATCCCATCAAGCAGATATCAGCAGCAGTGAAAAAAGTTGGTTAACAGTTAATCATAGAAGTTTGCTTGAACAAGAGGGCCACACAGAGGTTTCCATACCTAAAGCAATAGATTCCAAGAGCATCCTTGATTTCATGCACAACCAAAATGGCAAGGTGTAGGTAAAGACCCACTGTCACGGGAAAATGGAGCAAGTTGATATGTAAAATGCTGAGTGTGAACAGATAACCAAGCAGAAATATCGACATAAAAGGATAATAGTCCCGTAAGATAGATGTTAACACGACTTTGAGATGCGGTTACATGCTATGAGCATGAGAATGCCACATGCGTAGATGTTGGTCTCCCCGATCATACCTAGTATAACAAAGAATACGAGAAAAAGGTAAAGTTTTATGGTGCTAGTGATCCATTGCTAGGAAATGAGAATGTACTATCTGAAATAGCACTTTTAAATCTAAACGGGCTCTTTAGGCCCGTAAAGCATGATACTATTGAATGTAGTGGACAAACCGAATGTTAGTGCCTAGGAAAGATTCCATAGAAATGATCAAAAGATGCAAGTATGAAACTGAAAATGCTCAAGTTCACCAGTATATGCACAATAAAGAAGCAAAGCAAGACAAGCTCATCAACTAAAGGACTCCTACCAAAGAAGAAGATCGAGTCATTTAGTGTAAACATAAAAGAGTGTCTTTCGGATGTTACCAGATACTAGGTGGAATAAACACATTAAGAGCTTACCCATCGTTGATCTTTGCAATGAGAGCATTTGCAATCAAAAACAAAGACACACCGTAGACTGAAACAAGAGGTTTTAGTCAAGTACTTAAAAAGTGGCCTACACTTGGCACCTAAATAAAGATGAGAAGACAGGAGACTTCAAAGCCATACCATGAACATCCCAGATTTTAGACCTTTGGGCTCAAATCACACAAATGAACAAGTATCATTCTTCCCTGCTCAAAGATGATTATTCACATTATAAGATGATGAGCATTATTTGTAGATATAAACAAAATGAGTGATAGTGTGTTAGTATTGCACTGAGTTTGTCCCTTCAGAAAACCACACATTACTAAAGGCATCATGCAACAACAGAAATTAAGTCCAGTCTAATCTGATGTTCATATGAGTCATCAGGTGCACTGCTTGACTCATGCATTCCAATCAAACCTGAGGCTTTTGTGTATGCTGTTATTTTATATTCTGTCAGGTTGCATGTGCTGTTATTTTATATTCTATATCAGCAGTACTAATGAGACTGAGATGTTCGCTGTTGCCAAATCATTTGACTCTGACCAGCTGATCTGACCAGCATCTCCCAATAGCAGACACAAGCATTGCAATTTGCAGCCACCTAACGACCATGCTTCATTTATTTCATCTCTAATTATGATCGATCCATCAATTGTTAAGTATTGGCAGCCATCAAACAGTTTGTAAGAGTTTAATTGATAACATCATATATAATTCACCACACTCTTTCTTAGCACTGTTCATGGCCCTCATATGCTATGTCCTCAGTAGTTTTGATTGAAAATGACTTACATGATCAATATGATCGAGTAATATACTAATATGTCCTAGGGATGCAAGGATATAAGTAGTGGGAAGTCTACAGAACAAAAAGACGAAGCAAAATAGAGCACTGGACTGACCGCGTGTAGGAAAAATGACTATGCCAGGCAATCAACATATCCAAATTCTCAATTTCTAGCCAAATATATTGCTATACCTGTGACACAAAATTCATATTTTACAATTTTTTTACACCAACCTAGGCAACACTGGTCCATCACTGTCACCTGTTAGAGATTTGAATGTGATGAACAACAGGTCTGTCACTGATGGCCTAAGCCACTGCAGATACCACATTCCTTCTTCGACACTCACTAGAACCGCCCCAATGCCAAGAAAGCAAGACTAATGTCCCATGATCCCACCTAGACTTGCTTGATGACACAAGTCTGACATAGTAAAAAATCAGTTGTACTTACATAGGGAGACATGGAAGCCAGGCAATCGAAGTAGGCGGAAACCCATCGCTGTGGCATCAATGGCATTAACAGGGAAGTCCCTCAAAGATGGTAGCCCTAAATCTTGTGTCCAAAGCCTGTCAACATGAAATTATGAACAAAGGAATAATACCTTAAATCAATATCTAATAATTGTTTCTCTCAAAGACCAAGACAGTGTTGTTTGGTCTGTCAACCATCCTAACTCAAAGACCAAGACACATACAAGTAGCCAAGTTGGGGTATTCCACTGACGTCAGGAACAGATCCTTCCAAGCTGCAGTTCCTCAAACTCCTGATGGTGACAGTATCAATTAGATTAATATAAACTGTAATAAACGCTGCAGGAAAAAAAGAGAGGAGGAATAAATATGAAGCAAACTTGAATTCTTGAGATGCATTAAAGTTTTACACCTTAATTTGCAAGGCATTCAAATGCCAGTGTCTTGAGATGCTAGTCATATTGGGTAAAAAACTGGATGTCTACTGTGTACATGAGAGGGGCTGCTGTGGATAGGGAGCCGAGGGCATTTGAGTCCATACAAGAATACACGTTGTCGTATACGTCTGCAGCTGGGCCCAAGTCGTCCCTATACGTATTCTGTGGCATTCTTGTGGGAAGCAAATAATTGTAATGGTACGCTTCAAAATAGGCGAATAGTAATGGTGTTTCTCCAAACTTCGAAAATTATAATGGTATGAATAAAAAAACCCAAAAAAAAATAAGATCAACGTGGCCACCCCCGAAGCAGCAGAGATGGGCCAGCGTAGGGAAGAGTGGTGAATGGATCTAAACCTAGAGCTTTGGTACCATGTTACGAATAAAGAGCGACTCAACTGGATCATTACAAGAAACAAGTAGCTTGATCAGAAATTAATCCAATGTCTAAGTTTTGTTAATCCACATTTTAAGCATATAACCAATAATTGGAAAATGTATAGTATGCATTTTTCTATGTAGACAACTGGTAGGTCCTTCAGAGGGACCAAACATGTTATTATTGATCCATGCAATAGTAACTAGTGCATAACTAAGACAAAAATACAGAAGTATAAATCTACAAGTCCAGATACTTCTTCGTGTCAAGAATTGAATCTTATCATTGTAATTGGAAAATAATGATGAGGGTTGTCAAACAAATGTGGATTCCCATTACTGATACAAAAACTTACGTGAGAACTCATATAAGAATACATAATACAAAAAGAGATAAAGCAAACTTACAATTTCAGAAGTGTTGAGATGTTGCCATAAGATGAAGGAATTGAAGGAGAACATTTGGTCTCTCTTTACTGAGTTTCTTCAGCTCGCTGTGACCTTGATTTCATCCTCCCAGAACTGGACACTGTCCCAGAACATATCATGGGCTGCACATGCAGTCAGTGGACCATATTAGTGGTTAAAAGAATCAAATGCAAGCTACAGGACTATTGAGTTCTTTGTTTCCAAACCTGTTTTGAAGCTGCAAGCTAGGGATGACAGAGGTGATGCACAACTCCATCAGATCCTCTTCATTGTCTTCCAGGCATGTCCAGAAGCTTTCAAACTTCTCAGGTTGGGTGCTACTAGAAACGGTTACCATCTGAATTGCAGTGCATGTCAAAAAGGAGAAATTTCAGTAGCAGCTAGCCATCCCAAG